AAATATATTCTAATCCATAGAACCAAATGAATATATATATATATTTTCAGATTCAAAGATTCATATATATATATTATTAATATATATAATTATATTTTTCGTTTAACACTGATGGTTATGTAAGATAACTAAAAAAATATTTTTTTAGATCACCGTTATCTTCTATATTGACAATAGAAATTCAGAATTCTTCCTATTTTCACCTGACCGAGTACTAATGTATAACGTTGAGTTAGGGTTAAGAAGTGGAATACGTTAATTTTTCGAGATCTTTACTTAATTTCTTATCATATTTTAGTCACATTTTTAAGAGAATTCTCCCAAACGTGATTTATATATATATATTTTTTTTTCTTCTCTGAATGTAAATGAAAGTCTAATAATATCTAAAGCATATCTGATAATATCTAAATCATATCCAATAATATCTAAATCATATCTAATAATATCTAAATCATATCTAATAATATCTAAATCATATCTAATAATATCTAAATCATATCTAATAATATCTAAATCGTATCTAATATCTGAATCATATCTAATAATATCTAATAATGTCTAATCATATCTAATAATATCTAATAAACTTATTCTCTATAATGGTATTTTTAAGGCCTTAATTTTAATCACACTTAACATATAAGTAGACTTCCTTCTAAATATTATTACGATTAGATATTATTAGATATGATTAGACATTAGTTTTAAAAGCACTCATTCATTTTTCAGAATTTTAATTAACTCTTTGTAATGTTATTTTAAACATTATTCAGTATCTACTTGTCCCCCTCACAGACTTTTAGCATGACGTCACCGTCGGAACTATACATATGGTATGGATCGATCGACCTCCAAGACTATTGAACTTCAACTGAAAGAAATCCCCAGGGAGCAGGAACCGACATCTGACATGCTTGTTCATCCTTTGTTCATACATAAACCGAACGTTCTGCTTCTCGTAGCAAAGGTCATAGTATGACGGATAGGAATGTACGAAGGTTAAAGTATGACGGATAGGAATGTACAGAGGTTACAATATGACGGATAGGAATGTACGGAGGTTACAATATGACGGATAGGAATGTACGGAGGTTAAAGTATGACGGATAGGAATGTACAGAGGTTACAATATGACGGATAGGAATGTACGGAGGTTATAGTATGACGGATAGGAATGTACGGAAGTTACAATATGACGGATAGGAATGTACGGAGGTTAAAGTATGACGGATAGGAATGTCCAGAGGTAACAATATGACGGATAGGAATTTTCAAGTTATTGCCTGTGTAGAAAGATTATAGCTGTACAGTTTTAGTGGTGCCATGTAATTTTATAAGTATGTAAAACACGCTGTAATATGTGTAAATAAAGTACTTGATATTGGTATCAATATATTAAATCATATTAAGTATTGGAACTCAACTTGATTTATTAATGCGGGAATGTAGTGAAGTCGTCTTACTGGACAATAAATTAACATTCAGTTATATTGTTAAGTTTCGATCTCAGGAAAATTTCGCATCATATATCGCTAGAAGGGGAAGAGTTAATTCTGCATTATTCTCAGCTATACTTTTAATAGTTAATACGCCAAATTCACATCACTGACATACTTCACATCTGTACTCAAAACTTTAAATAATAAACTGTGATAGAAATCTAATAAAACTTGCTGGTGATACTTTAAGAACAATCTGAAAATACAACTTGCTGGTGATACTTTAAGAACAATCTGAAAATACAACTTGCTGGTGATACTTTAAGAACAATCTGAAACTACAACCAGATTGTTCTTAAAGTATCACCAGCAAGATTGTTCTTAAAGTATCACAGCAAGTTGTATTTTTGAAAATACAACTTGCTGGTGATACTTTAAGAACAATCTGAAAGAATGACGTCATAATGGCTAGCAGGTACTCAATGTAAGCCAGAGCATCTCAAGTTTTTTCAATTTTGGTGAGGAGTTGTGGAAATGTGAAAGTTAGAGCGATTTTTTTCTGTTTTCTTCTGAACAGTTTTAGCGTGTATGTAATTCTAAGTTAAACGACTCCAAATAAAACTCTTTTATATTTTGTGTGTGTGTGTGTGTGTGTTATATAATATATATAACGATTTCTTCCTAATGGATTTAATGTTTGGTTTAGGGTTTATGTAAGTTGTCTTGCATATTATACAAGCTGGACAACATTCACGTTGTATTTATTCTTAGCACGATATAAACAAACAGATTCTGTCCAATTCTCATGTTAGTCTGTCATTCACTAATGCCTAATCATTAGCCTTAGCTCATTCTTGCAGTCATTTTAGTACTGTCTGATTGCAATTATCATCTGGAAGATAAAAAGATACAGAAGAATTAGTATCCATAGTATCTTTACTAGGAGTTCGCTATGATGATCCTCTATCGATTATGCACATTGGTATATATATATATATAAAGAAAGAATACAGACCCTTCAAACGTGTATTCATGGGTTTGAGAATATAAATAATGTTTTTGTTGTTTTGAACTTGTAACTTTATTGCTTGTAAACATTAATTAGTAGCCTCTGTACATCCAAAAGCTACTCAACTGTCTATGAGATGAAATATGTTCAGAATGACTAGGAAAGATAAGAATATAATCATCAATTTACTTAAATTACGTTCAGCACTTATAAGATAACTTAATTATAAGATAACTTAAGTATCGGTTCATGATTATAGTAGTGTGGAGTAGACATGTCTTTGTCCTACGTCTCAGTCGAAATGTATTTTTCGTTAAACGACCCTTTGAGCCGCTCTTATCTTTGTGGCTGCCTATCCTCAGTCAGGGGCACTAACCATTAGGCCCCACCCAGAGAAGAGGGAAGGCACTACTCAAACGAATTCACCACTAATTTTGGAACTATTCTTGTCTGATCGAATAGTAGGATTTGACTGTCACTATTATAGCGTTCCCATGCTCGTCAAGTTTGGTGTGTACTTTTGTGGCAAATGGTGGCGAACCATTTATATTCGGACTTATAGTCCGGACATGTTGACTGTTAGACCACCCCTGGCTCTGAATCATACGAAACAACTGAATTATCTTAAACGATAAAACTGGATAAAAGAAAACTGTCCAGTAGAGGGCAGCATAATTGCTAATGTATCATGCTCCTAGTAGCCGAAATATAATTAAGAGTATTTCCTCTTAATTAACAGCTAATTATTTTATTAAAATATATTAGTTGAGCTTCTAAAGTTTGAGAACAGAATTAGCATAGCTATATTTCAAACACTAAGAAAAACAATTTGATTAACTCTAGTGTTTAAAACGGCCCAGATGACCGCAAGAAAACCAATAGTCAGACAGTTTACTTGTTGCTGCAAAGGGCGGCTGTCTGAAAAGAATAAATGTTAAATAACATTTACTGCTTTGCAGCTTAGAATTCTAGAATATAAAAAGCTATTTACAGTCCTATATATATATAT